CTTTGGAGAGAGAGTCTATATATTCGACATGAAATCAAAGAGTATCTTTAAGAGAGAGAAAAAAATAAAGTGAGATATATCAGCCGTCTTCGGAGACCATTGGAATAAAATATTTTTCTTTCTTTTTCATATTTATTCTTAGATTTCTTCAGAGAGTATAAGATCCTATTAAATTATCCATGATTGTGATGTAAGTAACCAGTCTTCAGCAAGAAATAAACATAATATCTTCACCATATTCCCCATATGGTTTTTGTTATCTATATTGGGAGGGAAGATGGCCATGAAACTTTGGGTGATGTATGAAAGATGACATCTCATAGCCAACTTCCAGTAATACTTGAGAACTGAGATGGTGAATGTTGATGAAAGTCCCTTTCATGCTTCACAGTTGTAGCACTTTAGGCATGTCTACATGGGTCATTTAAATCAGTTTCCCCATGCCCTTCACGTTGCCTTGTCTTCACGATGAAGGACCAAAGCCCCGATTTGAGTGTAGACTGTCTTCATGACATGAAGGTAGTTCCATAACTAATCTGGGCCATCCCTCCTTTAAACCAGTTTAAAATAATTTACATTTTGCTCTGGAGTTCCCAGGAAACTCCAGAGCACTCCAGAGTTACACCAGGTAGTTGTTTACACATGTATCCCATTGTGCCACCTGGTGCCACCATCCCTGGCATGGGTCAATCCCCCTGAGGTAACAAGATGCCCAGCCATGTAATTGGTGGTGGGTGCCTTGTTTTTGACCTCAGAAGGAGCAACTCATGGCAACAGTGTTGGGTGGCACAGTGGGACCTGTGTGTGTAGACAGCCACTCAACATTGCTCCAGAGTGCCCAGGTAATGGGGGGAATTTGGGGCAGCTTTGTGAACAAAATATGCCAGGAGCAGCCTGGCATATTGAGTTTAGACCTGCCCTTTGGTATGACTTAAAGTGCCATCATTCCAGTCTATGGAATGAGGGGATTTGTAGTTTCATTAAGTATGTGCAATTCTCTGCGAGAGAGCTCTTGTGCCTCTCCAAGCTAGACCTCCCTAGATTCTGTAGGATGAACTCCTTGGATTCTGTAGGATGAATCCAAAAAACACTATGGTTGTAGGATGAGAAAGAGACCAAATCCAGAGGAGAAAAGTGGAGAAAGATTAGTGACAAGCTTGAGAGGAGCTTCAAGGGTTGCTCCCTCTTACAAAATCCTAGAGACTTTGACAATTCCCAGTGGGAATTATACTAATTTGAGTAACCATTGAATATTATCTGATATGTGAGTAGAAATGGGAGTGAGGTGAGGAGAATGTGTTGCTTGAGTTCAGGAGAGTTTACTATATCTTACAGAGAGCATGTCTGGATGCCAAGAGACCTGAACAAGCAAATCTCTGCAATGAGGATGAGAATCCAGACTGAACATTTATTTACTTGCAGGACTATACTTGCTACTGTAGTCTGATCTGAAGGGCTGATATTGTCAGACTGAAAGTTTGAGATAGACTCATGGTGAGATGCTCATGGTGAGATGCATTACTTCCCATCTCCCATCCATGTCTTATTTACCTATTGGTGGCTTGTGTCTTCCATGTCAATGGAAAAACCAAAAGAGAGCAAAAACTGGGGAGCATCCAATGAAATCTACAAGAAAAACAAGTGACATGTCTCAAGATGCTCAACAATGGGTCTGTTTATTCCTTGAAAAGCCCAGTCCCTTCACAAAGCCATTGAGGGCACCCATAGGCTGAACTGGGTTGAGCTCTTCAGCTAACAAAAAGACCCTCTTTTTAAGCATCTTGCCTTGTTTTCCATGGAGACCATCACACGGGGCAAATCTGCTGGTTAATCCACACAAATCCCAAACAGA